CCCTGATTATTACACTCTGTGACGATTGTGAAGTCAGCTCCTTGCACCCCCGGCCCACCCCAACCAAAGGTGAGCTCATTGCTCCCGCAGTTTCTTTTTGCTACCTGTTAGCTGGGTAGTTCTGTATGGTGACCGCCGTGGTCCCCAACAACCCAGATGGCATCTGAGGCACGCTATAAAGTGGGGGATGGGGAGAAGACCACACTGAAGAAGGAAAACCTCAATGTTATAAATGCGCTTGACCAACTACCAAAGCCCTTTCCAAACCCCAAGTTTATGAACCGGACCGTCGCTACCAAAGGCCACCCGCTTTCCTCAACAGGCTGTTTGGCTAACTTGTTGGAGGCTGATTCCATCAATCTGGTGTAAGCATGGTCCCTTCTCTGTTTTCTAAGGCTGGAGCTGGGGTGGGGGGAGGGACTTAAAGAGGTGTTTCCTCCTTAACCTCTATAACTTGGCCCTTGGGGAGGAGCCCCATGCAGGTTGGACCAGTCTGTGTTCCCCAGCCTCAAATCAGTTCCTGGGGTATTTGATCTGTGCATGCCAGGAAGTCTTTCTGAATTAGCCAGTTTTCTAGGCTGTGCCTGTAGCCTGCTTGTCTGGCCAGGTCCTCCCCTCCCCATCCCAAAGCTGCTCTCCCTCTCCCCTCACCCTTTGATGCCATCACCTATTTGGAAATATTTCCCAGAAAGCCTGTCTGCCTTCCAACTGTGGTTCACTGTTCTTAGTGAGACAGATTTTCCTCTGTATACCGCAAAACTTACATAGCAACGTGTCTGGCCCAGTGTTAAGCCCTGGGAATGCAGAGCTGGGAAGTAGCCCCTGCCTTCAGCGAGCATCTAGTCTGGTGGTGTGGTTAGGGTAGTACGGGGTGCCATCAGGCAATAAGCAATAAGGGTGACAGCATGGTCTGGTAAGTGCTGTACTGGGCTGCCTTGAGCACCCAGTGGGGTTGGCTTGGGGGGCGGGGTGCTGGGACAGCATGGGAGAAGAGAGGAATGTGGTCCCCCCAGAGGAAGTGGTATCTGAGCAGAATCTCCTGCGAAGACTGATGTGAGGTGAAGGCCTGAGGTGAAGGCCTGGCCATCTCTGTCCTGATGCTGTTGATCGACAGTTTTGAACAAGACCCTCTACTCTTCAGCGGGCATTGAGTCCCACAAACTATAGCTGC